CCTCTCCCCCACCCCCTCCGCTCTGGGCCGTAGAAGGCGCGGCAAAGCAGACGCTCAGGGGCGCCACACCTTCCCCGTCCGGTTCCAGGGCCGCGCCGCCCCCGCCCCCATCGCAGACAGGTGACGGCGAAAGGAAAGGGACCCCGACCCTACCGTAAACAGACGGCGCCGCCGCGTGGGGAGCCCCGAGCAGGCGCGTACTCCCGCCGCGACCGGGACTGGCTTAGGGTCTGGGACAGGTCAGGTCGCCGTCGCCGCCTCAGAGTCCAGCGACTCCGATGCCCAGCGCGCCTGCCCGTCACTTCTCCCGGCGCTTCTCCCTACTCGGGTCTCGACACCACCTGCTTCCCACACGGCGGAGGATGATGGCGGAGGAGGAGGATTTTGAAAGCCGGCAGTTTCTTTCCTTCGATTTGATTTGTTCTAGGCCCAGGCGGCTTCCCCTGCCCCCGCGCGCGTGGCCTATCGGGTATGGTAGTCCAGCTCTCTCGCGTGGGGCGCGGCCGAGGGCCACAGCGAACTACCAGTCCCGTGATGCAACGCGCCGGAGGGCCGCCGCCTGTCTTCTCTTCGCCCTCCCTCGTCAGCTTCTGGCTCTTTCTCCCGTAGACCACAGGGTGGCGTTTAGCTGTGAGCGCCCAGGAAGACTACAATTCCCGTAATGCCTTGCGGCCTGCCCTCCTAGCCCTTCCGGAAAGGTGCACGTTCCCGTAACGAGGCTGGTACAGTCCAAGACAGAGAGCAATGCGTGCGATTCGTGTAAAGGAGAGGAAACGTCAGACAACCCCAGACATGTTCCAGAATAACTGGTCTGTACTCTTCCAAAAACGTGTCATGAAAGGCAAGGAAAAGCTGAGAACTGTTGCAGATTAAGGGAGACTAAAAAGACAGGACAACTAAATGCAATACGTGATCCTGGATTGGGGTGATGGGGGGATTACCATAAAGGGCAACATTGAGACAATTAGCAAAACTTGACTGTATATTAGATAATGGTATTGTATCAACATTAAATGTATTGATTTTTATTACTGTACTGAGTTATGTAAAACACTGCCCTTGTTCTTGGAAAATATATGCTGAAGTTACTGGGAGCATGAGGTCTGAGACTTTCAAATGAGCCGAGTGTTCCTGTGGAACCTTCTATAAGTCTCAGTGGTGTCAAGTGAAGAAGCAGTTACTGTTAATTTATATGGGAAAGTTTTTAAGGGTTCCCAGACTCAAAAAATAACCTAACAAGTCATATCAAATAACACATAAAATCTAAAATAACACAAACATATAGTAAAAGGAATGATGTGCTGCACAGCGTCTATAAAGTAGAAATAGTGTACGTACACTGTCTGTGTAATAGCTCACTGCAAAACCCAAACGCAGCTGAGCACAAATGCTAAGGTTATTTTCGCTTTTCACCCATTTTCTGAAAAGCGAAAATCCCCTTCTGATTTCTTTCAGTTATGGAAAACGGGTAGTCCTCCCTCAGCATCCGTGGGGGGTGGGTTTCAGCACCCCACTCAGGTCCCAATATCCGCGGGTGCTCGAGTCCCTTGTATAAAATAGCGTAGTATTTGCGTATACCCTAAGCACATCTTCCCCTGTACTTTAATCATCTCGAGATTACTTGTTTAGGGAACAGTGACAAGAGAGAAAGTTTACCTGTTCAGTATGGATGTATCCACTGTAGGCCTGACTACACAGTACAACAACGTATGTTTTCAGACATTTCCATCCCTGTTGGTTGAATCTAAGGAGGCAGAACCCGCAGGTACAGAGGGCTGGCTCTACAGATGTATGTCTTTCGTAAAAAAGAGCAACATAGAGAACTTTCAAAAGTGGGGGGAGACCTGTGTGTGTGTGTGTGTGTGTGTGTGTGTGTGTACACACACACATACATACATAGAGTGCAAATGTGGCAAAATGTTAACAGTAAGTGAATATGGAAGTTCTTTGAACATTTTGGCCACTTTTCTGTAGGTTTGAATTTTCTCAGATATCAGAACACAGGTAGCTTTTCCTTTTTTCTTTTCACAAAAACCTTTTTAACCATTATATAAATAACACGTGCTCATCATAAAACAATTCAGCCAGTATCAAACAGGTTAAAGAGGAAAGTAAGCATTACCCCAGAAACTCTAACACCGAGAGAGAAACACCGTCAACCTATGCAGCTGTCTTTTCCAAGGTTCTCTCTCACAACTCAGCCCACACACATGCTTTTACTCTACCTGCAATTCAGTTGCATATAGGGTTTGGCAAAAGTAGGCTTAGAGTTGTGAGTATGGGAAACACAGAGTTTATTCTTGTGTTATTTATTTATTGTTGTATTACAAGTATAAACCTACTTTTGCCCCACCCTGAATATTACCAGCCATTTCCTTTCACTCACAGCTCATTTAATCTTTACAACCACAAAGGAAGTGGGCATCCTTACCCACCCTTCCCAGGTCAAAGATGAGAAAACCGAAGCTCCAGCCCTGTTCACACAACTGCTCAGATGTGGGCCGTCTTTCCATCCCCTTTCTCAGTCTTTGCCTACAAGGCCCACATCAAGTGCCACCTTCTTCAGGAGGCTGTCCTATACCACTGCAGCGGGGATGAGTCACTCTCCAGTGGCCCCCACAGCAAGCCGAAAACCCCCACAGCCCTGGGTCTGCGGGTTTTCTCACAATCAGAGTTAATGGTATTCTTGGCAGCTCCCTCCTTGACCCGGGAGAGCCTGGGGGTTAGATACTATTTCTGTCCTGGCAGCATCTGCTGGGGCCAGGCCTGCCGCAGGCACTTCAGGCTTCCTCATTTGAACGGGATTCCGGTCAGAGTCACTGGATGTTTGCTCAAAAGGAATCATCTTCTGAGAAGGCCGGGATTCCTGTGCTGACTCCAGCTAGTATCAGTCAAATCATTCTGGGTTGGTCTTGGGGTGACCCCCAGGCTCCCTTTTCCAGTTCACGTCCTGAGACTTTCCCGGCCCTCTGACACACGCCCCCCAAAGAGAAGAGGGAGGAGGGCGGTAGAACGTCTTAGGCAGTCTTCCTTTTCTCGTCCAGCTGATGAATCTGGGGTTTCTGAACTGGAAAGGACTTCTTAGTAGAAACTCAATGGCCTTCAAAGGCCAGGGAGGTCATAGCAGGTAATGGGGGCCTGTGGGGCTGTGGAGAACTTGAGAGCAGATGTTCTGCTTGAAGGTGTTCACATTCTAAGCTAAAAATCACAAACCCAGCCTGACAGCCCCTTAGCAACCCAGATTCTGTGTGTGACCCCTGAATCTAGATTCTATCCCAAACCCCTTTAAAATCGAGACTGGGGTTTAGAAAGAAGAAGGGAAGGCGTTTCCCCAATGGTGCACAGTGAGTCAGAAGAGTCCAGCACCATCAGTGTTTCCAAGCAACCTGTTTGTCATCATCTCTCTCTCCTTCCCTTTCTCCAACTCTCTTTTGTTATCAAGTGAGAGCTGGTCTGTTTGTCTGGCCCTAGAAGTGGAACCACAGCCTTTGACCGACGGATAAAGTCATCTTAGGCCACCCCTCTCCTCAACAGATGAAGAACTGCAGCCCAGAGAGGTCAAATAACCTGCCCAAATTACACAGAAATTTAGACAAGAGACAGTAGAAGCCAGATCTTTTCAACACACACACTAAACAAGTCACTTTGTGAGTATGAGGGTGGGAATAGGGGAGGGGGACTGTCCAGGCCTTTCTCTCTGTTGTGAAGTGTGTTTCGTTTTGTTTTCTTTTTTTAATGTTTTGAAGAGGAAAGCAGGCTGCCTCTGGTTAGTTTGGTTTACTTTACCTGAGTGTTTTAAATTCCATTCTGGTGCCTGAAATCAAACTTAATTGCCAAATGTAAGTGGTATAAATAATATTTACGCTGGTTTCCTGAAGAGCTACCAAGGCTGCAGACTTGCCATTTAGTCACATCAAAAACAAATGCCTTAAGCATGCCAGACAGCGAGGTGTGGAGAGAAATCTCTAAGATCCTAATGAGTGGTGCCCTTGGGCCCCGGAGAGAGCTGTGTGGGCCTGGCCTCCCTGCATGCAGGGCAGCCTGCCCCTCATCCGCAGGGGTCACCTCTTGGTGGGAAGGGGTCTCCACATGTTTATAAAAGACAACTCAAACCACATTCCCTCCTGGGTTTAAGCCCAGGGCTCTCCCTCAAAACATTCTCTCTCTCTCTTTTTTTTAACCTCAAACAACCTTAATTAAAATAATTCATTAAGTCTATAAATAGTTCTCGAGCATCTACTCTGTGCCAGGCACTGTTCCAGCTCCTGGGAGGCCAGTGATGAGTGAGAGAGAAAAGAATGGTGTCTGCAGAGGAGCTTAAATGCAGAACTAACATTTGTGAAGGGATTCCTAGTACCACATGCTTTGGGTAGATTGTTTTCTCTTTTAATAAGTATCTTGTTCCAAAACAGCAATGATTTTTTTTTTAAATGAAAACGGATGGTAATTTTTAAAACTTAGTATAAATGCAAAAGAGCATAAAAAAGAAAGTTTAAAAATTACCCGATTCACTCTTAAATGTATGTGGATTGCTGGGTGAATGGGTAGAAGGATAACTATGTGATAAAGCAAATACAACAAAATGTTAACAATAGTAGCATAACCTAGGGCACGCGAGTGTAGTTCTCTCACCTTTCTGTGTGCTTGAGCGTTTTCATAATAACCCATGGGGGACAAACGTGACCATGGTTTACTCTCTGCGTTTCACCCACTGTATTGTAGGCTGACCTACCTTAGCCTCTAAGCTCGCTGGTCCTCCCCCCTCTTTTTCTACGTCACCTTTGAGAACCTGAATTCTATGGGCTGCTTCCCAGAAGAATGTATGTTTTATTTATTTTTTAGTTAACTACACATTTGTTAGTCCTTTGCAGGCTTAATCCTCACAGTGACCCTATCAGGAAAGTACTCTTACTGTCCCCAACCTAAGCCTGAAATTGTGGTACATCTTTAGGGGCCTTCCCCACACCCCAGGGTGACATCCTTTGCGGAAGGACTGGGACCTGGGACTTTGCTGGAGCTGTGGGGCTTCTCTGCAGTCCCAGGACCCAGCGTGGAAATGAATGTTTGCTGAGCAAGTGAAGAAACACTGCACTTGGTTGCAGCTAAAGTTGCTATGTGCTCAGGCCCCACCCAGGACACAGCATGGGGGCTGGGCAGTGGCAGACCTGAGCCTGGAGCAGGAGGTGCTCGCTGGACAAGGGATGACTGGATGACGTACCTGTCAGTTCCTCAAAGGTCAGAGCATGAGTGTCCGGCTCCCATTCTCCAGCAGCCCACTCACATGACAGGCCCTCGAGATGCACTCAGATTTAAGATGTCCACGTCACGGTGCAGCGGTCAGGCCTTTCAGGTGGACAGGCCTGGGACTGA